AGGATGATGATTTAACACTTTGAAGATGATGATTTAACCCTTTGGGGATGATGATTTAACACTTTGAGGACGATGATGATTTAACACTTTGAAGACGATGATTTAACACTTTGAGGATGATGATTTAACCCTTTGTGGACGATGATTTAACACTTTGAAGACGATGATTTAACACTTTGAAGACGATGATTTAACACTTTGAAGACGATGATTTAACCAGCACAGAAGACGATGATTTAACACTTTGAGGATGATGATTTAACACTGAAGATGATGATTTAACCTGAAGATGATGATTTAACACTTTTAGGGACGATGATTTAACACTTTATGAGGATGATTTAACCCTTTGTGGACGATGATTGCTTTTGAGGACGATGATTTAACACTTTGAGGATGATGATTTAACACTTTGAAGATGATGATTTAACCCTTTGATGACGACGGTTAACACTTTGAGGACGATGATTTAACACTTTGAAGACGATGATTTAACTTACTTTGAGGACGATGATTTAACCCTTTTGATGACGATGATTTAACACTTTGAGGACGATGATTTAACACTTTGAAGACGATGATTTAACACTTTGAAGATGATGATTTAACACTTTGAAGACGATGAGTTTAGCAGCTGAAGACGATGATTTAACACTTTGGGGATGATGATTTAACACTTTAAAGATGATGGTTAACCCTTTGAGGATGATGATTTAACACTTTGAGGACGATGATTTAACACTTTTGAAGACGATGATTTAACACTTTGAGGATGATTTAACCCTTTGTGGACGATGATTTAACACTTTGAGGACGATGATTTAACACTTTGAGGATGATGATTTAACACTTTGAAGATGATGATTTAACACTTTGAGGATGATGGTTTAACCGCTTGGGGATGATGATTGTACTTTGAAGATGATGGTTTAACCCTTTGAGGATGATGGTTAACGCTTTGAGGATGATGATTTAACACTTTGAGGACGATGGTTTAACACTTTGAAGACGATGATTTAACACTGAGGATGATGATTTAACCCTTTGAAGATGATGATTTAACCCTTTGAAGATGATGATTTAACCCTTTGATGACGATGATTTAACCTTGCTTGAAGATGATTTAACCCTTGAAGATGATGATTTAACATGAAGATGATGATTTAACACTTTAGGGCTGATGATTTAACCCCTTTGAGGATGATGATTTAACACTTTGAAGATGATGGTTAACCGCTGATGACGATGATTTGCCGCTTTGAAGACGATGATTTAACACTTTGAGGATGAAGTAGTTTAACACTTTGCGATGATTTAACCCTTTGAGGACGATGATTTAACCCTTTGAGGACGATGATTTAACCACTGATGATGATGGATTTAACCCTTTGAAGATGATGGTTAACCCGCTGATGACGATGGTTAAACGCTGATGATGATGATTTAACCTTGAAGATGATGATTTAACCCTTTGAAGATGAAGTGATTTAACACTTTTGAAGATGATGATTTAACCCTTTAAGGATGATGATTGCTTTGATGACGATGATTTAACCCTTTGAGGACGATGATTTAACAAGTTGAGGACGATGATTTAACAAGTTGAGGACGATGATTTAACAAGTTGAGGACGATGATTTAACAAGTTGAGGACGATGATTTAACAAGTTGAGGACGATGATTTAACAAGTTGAGGACGATGATTTAACAAGTTGAAGACGATGATTTAACAAGTTGAAGACGATGATTTAACAAGTTGAGGTCGATGATTTAACAAGTTGAGGACGATGATTTAACAAGTTGAAGACGATGATTTAACAAGTTGAGGACGATGATTTAACAAGTTGAGGACGATGATTTAACAAGTTGAGGACGATGATTTAACAAGTTGAGGACGATGATTTAACAAGTTGAAGACGATGATTTAACAAGTTGAGGACGATGATTTAACAAGTTGAAGACGATGATTTAACAAGTTGAGGACGATGATTTAACAAGTTGAGAATGATGATTTAACAAGTTGAGGACGATGATTTAACAAGTTGAAGACGATGATTTAACAAGTTGAAGACGATGATTTAACAAGTTGAGGACGATGATTTAACAAGGTGAGAATGATGATTTAACATTTGAGGACGATGATTTAACATTTGAGGACGATGATTTAACAAGTTGAGGACGATGATTTAACCTTTGAGGACGATGATTTAAAAAGTTGAGGACGATGATTTAACATTTGAGGACGATGATTTAACATTTAGGGGCGTTTAACATTTGAGGACGATGATTTAACCCTTTGATGACGATGATTTCACCCTTTGAGGACGATGATTTAACCCTTTGAGGACGATGGTTTAACCCTTTGAGGACGATGATTTAACCCTTTGAGGACGATGATTTAACACTTTGAGGACGATGATTTAACCCTTTGATGATGATGATTTAACACTTTGAGGACGATGATTTAACACTTTGGGGACGATGATTTAACACTTTGGGGACGATGATTTAACACTTTGAGGACGATGATTTAACCCTTTGAGGACGATGATTTAACCCTTTGAGGACGATGATTTAACCCTTTGAGGATGATGATTTAACACTTTGAGGACGATGATTTAACACTTTGAGGACGATGATTTAACCCTTTGATGATGATGATTTAACACTTTGAGGACGATGATTTAACCCTTTGATGACGATGATTTAACCCTTTGAGGACGATGATTTAACCCTTTGATGACGATGATTTAACACTTTGATGACGATGATTTAACACTTTGAGGATGATGATTTAACACTTTGAGGATGATGATTTAACCCTTTGAGGACGATGATTTAACCCTTTGATGACGATGGTTTAACCCTTTGAGGACGATGATTTAACCCTTTGAGGACGATGATTTAACCCTTTGAGGACGATGATTTAACCCTTGATGACGATGATTTAACCCTTTGATGACGATGGTTTAACCCTTGAGGACGATGATTTAACCCTTTGAGGACGATGATTTAACCCGATTTTTGGACGATGATTTAACCCTTTGAGACGATGATTTAACCCTTTGATGACGATGATTTAACCCTTTGAGGACGATGATTTAACCCTTTGAGGACGATGGTTTAACCCTTTGAGGACGATGATTTAACCCTTTGATGATGATGATTTAACCCTTTGATGATGATGATTTAACCCTTTGATGACGATGATTTAACCCTTTGATGACGATGATTTAACCCTTTGATGATGATGATTTAACCCTTTGATGACGATGATTTAACCCTTTGATGACGATGATTTAACCCTTTGATGACGATGATTCTTGACCTAAAATTACTGAGATGTCAAAAGTGAAGATTAGTAAGGTCTGTCTGTCTGTCTGTCTGCTGAGTTGGAGGGAGGGAGGATTACGCCTCTCTCTCTCTCTCTCTCTCTCTCTCTCTCTCTCTCTCTCTGTCTCTCTCTTTCTCCCACCATTAATCATCACTACGGACTCTCCTCGTTGCCTTAGTGGAAGAGTTAACAGGTATTTATACACAGGTAAATCATAATTAACCTGTACTAGTTACCTGAGAGAGAGAGAGAGAGAGAGAGAGAGAGAGAGAGAGAGAGAGAGAGAGAGAGAGAGAGACACACACACACACACAGCCTCATGCATAACTTTCCATCTTCCGTCAACACAACTTTCTCTCTGAAGGAAAGTTGACTGTTGAGGAAACCACCAGGTAACTAACTTTCTAAACTTTCACCAACCAAACTTTCTTTTCAGTAATTTAAGCGTTGGTTATGGACACAAATAATAGCTTTCTAACTTTCACTGGAAGGTTTGTTACTTTCTATTTTTTATATAACTTTCACTGGAATTCTGAATACTCTCTCTAGTTTTATGAGCTCTAAAATGACTAACATAAAACAACTTTCCCTGGAGTTACTTTCACTTATGATAAATCAACAAACCACAGCTTTCTTTTCTTTTAAATAGCTTTCTTTTCTTTTAAATAGCTTTCTTTTTCTGAAATGATCTTAGCTTTCTCCATGATGATCTTAGCTCTACAAGAATCCACATAAAATAACTTTCACTTATATAACTTTCTTTAATCTAAAACTTTCACTAGAGAAAATTAACTAACATCTGGAAGTAATTTAAAACTTTCTCTTGGTAATAATATACTTTCTATAATCTAACAACTTTCACTAGATCAAATCATCTACTTTCTCTAATGTTAAACTTTCAATAGACCAAATTTACGACTTTCTCTAGGTAACAAACTTTCTCTAGGTAATATAAACTTTCTCTAGGTAACAAACTTTCTCTAGGTAACAAACTTTCTCTAGGTAATATAAACTTTCTCCAGGTAATATAAACTTTCTCTAGGTAATATTAACTTTCTCTAGGTAATATAAACTTTCTCTAGGTAATATTAACTTTCTCTAGGTAATATAAACTTTCTCTAGGTAATATAAACTTTCTCCAGGTAATATAAACTTTCTCCAGGTAATATAAACTTTCTCTAGGTAACAAACTTTCTCCAGGTAATATAAACTTTCTCTAGGTAATATAAACTTTCTCTAGGTAACAAACTTTCTCCAGGTAATATAAACTTTCTCTAGGTAATATTAACTTTCTCTAGGCAACATAAACTTTCTCTAGATAATATTAACTTTCTATAGGTAACAAACTTTCTATAGGTAATATTAACTTTCTCTAGGCAATATAAACTTTCTATGAGGTGTTTTTAAGTTCTACAAGGAGAGAAACAGAATCCACTTTCTCTTACTTTCATTACAACTTTCACTCTGCTTTTACCTCCCCCTAAAATATGTTATAATAGAGTGAATTTCTGTAAACTTTGTGTGCATGGAGAGAGAGAGAGAGAGAGAGAGAGAGAGAGAGAGAGAGAGATGTATTTTGACACACACACACACACACACACACACACACACACACACACACACACACACACACACACACACACACGGGGTTACCTGGAAGCCATAACAGAGTGCCATTGTCCATCTGTAAGCTGTGCCCGGGTCAGACAGAGCGCACGGGGTGATTCGGGGTGTAAGCGACCCACCAAACACAGTTGGCCGCGTATAAGCTGGACAGCGAGGCGATCTCTGCCATGTTGTGACCACAGGACAACTAGTTCCCCATCTCGCTTCCATGAACGGAACCTATGGAGAGAGACAGAGAGAGACAGACAGACAGATAGACAGAAACACAGACAGACAGACAGAAACACAGACAGACAGACAGACAGACAGACAGACAGACAGACACTAACCTCAGATGGACAGTGGTGGTATAGGCCAGAGGTGTGAACGAGAGTGCCAACTTAACGTAACTATTAAGAAAGAAAGTCGTGGGCGTAGTGGGCGTGGCACACTGAGCACCCGCCCATCCTGGTCGGCACTCACACCTCAGAGTGCCTGGTGACCCTTGGCACCTGTATAGGGGGAGAGTGGCATTGGTCAGAATTGGTGGTTTAATTTTTGACCTCTAATGAGTACATGATGATTTAGCCCCTTCAAGACACTATGGCAACTCATTATGGCAACTCATTATGACAATCCAGTATGGTAGTGTAATATGAATAAATATTATGGTAATTTAACTGTAGCAACTCACTATGGCAACTCACTATGGCAACTCACTATTTCAACCCACTATGGCAACTCACTATGGCAACTCACTATTTCAACCCACTATTTCAACCCACTATGGCAACTCACTATTTCAACCCACTATGGCAACCCACTATGGCAACTCACTATGGCAACCCACTATGGCAACCAACTATTTCAACCCACTATGGCAACTCAATTATTTCAACCCACTGGTGGCAACTCACTATTTCAACCCACTATGGCAAACCCACTGCGGCAACTCAATTATTTCAACCCACTGCGCAGAACTCACTGGCAAACTCACTATGGCAACCCACTATTTCGTAAACCCACTTGCGGCAACTCTCACTATGGCAACTCACTTTGCCCCAATCTGGCGGCAACTCCACTATTTCAACCCATCATGGCAACCCCAATTATTTCAACCCACTATGGCAACTCCACTATGGCAACTCACTATTTCAACCCACTATGGCAACTCACCATGGCAACTCACTATGGCAACTCACTATGGCACTCAATTATTTCAACTCACTATGGCAAACTCACTATGGCAACTCACTATTTCAACCCACTATGGCAACTCACTTTTGGCAACTTCACTATTTTAACCCACTATGGCAACTCACTATGGCAACTCACTATTTCAACCCACTATGGCAACTCACTATGGCAACTCACTATTTCAACCCACTATTTCAACCCACTATGGCAACTCACTATTTCAACCCACTATGGCAACTCACTACGGCAACTCACTATTTCAACCCACTATGGCAACTCACTATTTCAACCCACTATGGCAACTCACTATGGCAACTCACTATGGCAACTCACTATGGCAACTCACCTGCCATGAACGCCGCAGGTAAGGCCACTGGAGGCACAACTGACAGCTGCACACCCCGGACTGCTGCGTTGGTGGAGAAGATTCCGTCCGAGGTCGACCAGCTGCAGGAGACAGGTGGTGTACTGTCAGCTGAGTAGACAGATGGTGTTTGACGGGTATTGGACAGGTATTGGACAGTTAGATGGCTCAACAGATGGTGCTTGAGTTATATGACAGTTTTGACAGGTATTAGACAGTCAGATGGTATCAACAGATGGTGCTTGAGTTATATGACAGTTTTGACAGGTATTAGACAGTTAGATGGTGTCAACAGATGGTGCTTGAATTATATGACAGTTTTGACAGGTATTAGACAGTCAGATGGTATCAACAGATGGTGCTTGAGTTATATGACAGTTTTGACAGGTATTAGACAGTTAGATGGTGTCAACAGATGGTGCTTGAATTATATGACAGTTTTGACAGGTATTAGACAGTCAGATGGTATCAACAGATGGTGCTTGAGTTATATGACAGTTTTGACAGGTATTAGACAGTTAGATGGTGTCAACAGATGGTGCTTGAATTATATGACAGTTTTGACAGGTATTAGACAGTCAGATGGTATCAACAGATGGTGCTTGAGTTATATGACAGTTTTGACAGGTATTAGACAGTTAGATGGTGTCAACAGATGGTGCTTGAATTATATGACAGTTTTGACAGGTATTAGACAGTCAGATGTTGTCAACAGATGGCTACTTACCTCCCCATTCACCCGAAGATTCCGTATACACCCGCGAAATGGGCGTGGGCGTAGGGGCGCTGGCCACCCATAAGCTAAATATGAGGGTGGTGGGTGGGCCAATCCCCCTACCTGAAGTGGGTGTGGGGTACTCAACAGGTGTGCCCCATGTGGGAGTCTAGCCGATGCCCTGCAGGTGTGGGGATCAGGGGGCGTAGATTGGGGCGTGGGTTGGGAAGTCGTGGGCGTATCTGAGGTGTTATGGGTGGGTCTTGTTGTAGGTATGGGTGGGATATCTAGAGTCCCACCCGAGCACAGATCAACAATCAGTTCTGCAAGCTGAGGGTGGGAGAGAAAATGGGTGTTTGAGTCCTATTGAGTACTATTTACGGGTGTTTGAGTGCTATTGAGTACTATTTATGGGTGTTTGAGTCCTATTGAGTACCATTTATGGGTGTTTGAGTCCTATTGAGTACTATTTATGGGTGTTTGAGTGCTATTGAGTACTATTTATGGGTGTTTGTGTGCTATTGAGTACTATTTATGGGTGTTTGAGTGCTATTGAGTACCATTTATGGGTGTTTGAGTGCTATTGAGTACTATTTATGGGTGTTTGTGTGCTATTGAGTACTATTTATGGGTGTTTGTGTGCTATTGAGTACTATTTATGGGTGTTTGAGTGCTATTGAGTACTATTTATGGGTGTTTGAGTGCTATTGAGTACTATTTATGGGTGTTTGTGTGCTATTGAGTACTATTTATGGGTGTTTGAGTGCTATTGAGTACTATTTATGGGTGTTTGAGTCCTATTGAGTACTATTTATGGGTGTTTGTGTGCTATTGAGTACTATTTATGGGTGTTTATGTGCTGGCTGAGCACTATTTATGGGTGTTTGAGTGCGCTATTGAGTAATTATTTATGGGTGTTTATTTGCTACTTGAGTACTATTTATGGGTGCCTTTGAGTGCTATTGAGCACTATTTATGGGTGTTTATGTGCTATTGATAATTATTTATGGGTGTTTGAGTGCTATTGATTTACTATTTATGGGTGTTTGAGTGCCATCGAGTACTATTTATGGGTGTTTGTGTGCTATTGAGTACTATTTATGGGTGTTTATGTGCTATTGAGTACTATTTATGGGTGTTTGAGTGCTATTGATTACTATTTATGGGTGTTTATGTGCTACTGAGTGCTATTGAGTACTATTTATGGGTGTTTGAGTGCTACTGAGTACTATTTATGGGTGTTTGTGTGCTATTGAGTACTATTTCTGTGTTTGAGTACATTTTGGATGTATTTTGAGTACTATTATTGCTTCAGTATGAGGTTTAATCCTCTGAGTACTATTAGAACCACTGAGTACAGTATCTAACCCTTTGAGTACAAGATTTTAACCCTTTGAGTACAATGTTTACCCCTTGAGAGAGAGAGAGACAGAGAGATAGACAGAAAGACAAACAGACAGATAGACAGATAGACAGATAGACAGACAGACAGAAAGACAGACAGATAGAAAGACACAGAGAGAAACAGACAGACACATAGACAGATAGACAGAAAGACAGACAGAAAAACAGACAGACAGACAGATAGACAAACAGACAGACAGACAGACAGAGAGACAGACAGACAGACAGACAGAAAGACAGAAAGACAGACAGACAGACAGATAGGAAAGACACAGAGAGAAACAGACAGAAAGACAGACAGACAGACAGACAGACAGAAATACAGACAGACAGAAAGACAGACAGACAGACAGAAAGACAGACAGACAGACAGAAAGACAGACAGACAGACAGACAGAAAGACAGACAGACAGAAAGACAGACAGAAAGACAGAAAGACAGACAGACAGACAGACAGACAGACAGAAAGATAGAAAGACACAGAGAGAAACAGACAGACAGACAGACAGACAGATAGAAAGACACAGAGAGAAACAGGCTGACAGACAGACAGACAGACAGAAAGTCAGACAGACAGAAAGACAGACAGACAGACAGACAGACACAGACAGACACTGACCTCATTCCTCCAGAGCAGGTCAAGTCTATGCCAGGTATAATCACTCAAAGCATAAGTAACGTCAAGTATTAGTGTAACAGGTCCTGCTCCAAGGTCAAGGAGGAGATGTGGTCGACCACCTTTCAACTCAAGAGCGACCACATCACTTGGTGTACCTGGTGTGGCCGGGATGTGGTCAGGGCCAGAGTAAAGTAATAATCCATCTTTATATTTCGTTAAAAATTCCAAACTCAGGTGAATTTCAGTACAAGATGGGATGGATGACACCCAGGCCCATCCACCTATCCATTTGTCATCCATCTGTTGGCTATCCAGTCGTCCACTTCCTTCAAAATACCTCGAAAGGATTTTACATTGGGCTCCTACGGTTCCTTGAGGGCAAATACACCTGTAGGAAGGTTTGGTTAGGTTAGGTTAGCTTTTGGTTAGGTTTTGGTTAGGTTTTGGTTAGGTTTGGTTAGGTTTTGGTTAGGTTTGGTTAGGTTTTGGTTAGGTTTGGTTAGGTTTTGGTTAGGTTTTGGTTAGGTTTGGTTAGGTTTTGGTTAGGTTTTGGTTAGGTTTGGTTAGGTTTTGGTTAGGTTTGGTTAGGTTTTGGTTAGGTTTGGTTAGGTTTTGGTTAGGTTTGGTTAGGTTTTGGTTAGGCTTGGTTAGGTTTTGCTATAGGTTTTGGTTAGGTTTGGTTAGGGTTTGGTTAGGTTAGGTTAGCTTTTTGGTTAGGTTTTAAGTAGGTTAGGTTAGGTTTTTGCTAGGTTTTTGCTTAGG